TTGTTTGCTTTATATGCCACCGATAGATTTTTTATGTTTCTAAAGCAACGTGGGTTTTTCGACTTTCCTCTAACTAACAATTTTCGCTTCACCGAACCTGTCATGTTATCGGACACTGAAACTGTAATGCGTTCCTTAGAGAGGTTATCACCAACGCACTTTTCCGATTAAAATTTTAAAGTTCTGTTTGGTATCATTTTAAAAACAACCCCGTCTCATCAGCATTGAAAATGTCGTCTGATGCATATTGTGCCTTCAGTCCAGGCCACACGTTTTCTAGCCATTCTTCCTAATCTAATCTAATCTTGTGCCGCAGCTTTCACTTGCTCAGCCAACCCTCAGATGCCTTGAAATTCTCAATTCCAAGCCCAGTTGCAAAAAAGTCCTCTTTTGTCCTGACCACAGGCCCAGAAAGTGGAATATGGTTTATAAGCTGCTGCTGGAATCATTGAAGCATAGCGCGATCTAAATCTTCATGCTGAGGTTTCTGCAACTCCTTCCTGCTATCGTCTTTCATATTTTTCTGTCCTTTTATATCATAGCCACAGTTGACTGAGGTACGTCGAACGACATCCGATTGATTTTCACCTTTCTCTATTGCTCGAGCTATGGATAAATTTTCCTCCACCGAGAGATTGAACACTTTAAAAACAATATTTTATTTAATTCATCAATATTTTTTGTTAATAAAGTTTTGTTTAGGATTATTACCTTATTCTATTTCAACTAAAGCGCGTACATCATGGTTGTTGGGTCATATTGATTAGAACAGCATTGTATTACATTTGTATAGCTGACACAAACGGAACAACCGAACATATGCAGGGTGTTTCAAAAAGATATGTCATAAATAAAATCACGCATTCCGGTTACAAGAATAAATTGATTGAATCCAACTTACCTTAGTACAAAAGTGTTCACAACCAAAGTTACAGCCCTTTGAAGTTACAACATATTTGTTTTTTTGCATTATCTCTTGACTACTTGACATTTTGTAATAAAAATGGACATGATACTTTCTGGTCTGAAATCATTTTTCATAAAGAAGAAACAACAAAATCTAAGCGCATAGAAAAATTTTAAGGGGGGTGTGCAGCCCTAAATCCCCCCAAATTTTTTAGTACGTTCAAATCAAATGAATGTTGTGGCGTCATTAGTTTAGCATATTATTTTTAAAACTTTTTTGCCTCTTATCACTTTTTCGAAAACTAGTTTTTTCCTAGTTGGTCATAAAATAGTCAAAAATTTGAAGCTATCATTTATTGTGTGAATAAGATTAATATTAAAAAATTTGATATTGCAATGGCCTACACATTTCAGGAAATGGCAGATATACATTTAACTTTGGCTAAGTTGGATCAGATTAAATTATGATTTCAATAAACAATCGGGAATATCGTAGGTGAATGTCACGAAAATAGTGTAGCAGCCGCAAGGTGTTATGTAGTAAAACACTCCAATCGAAATACACCCGATAGACTACTATTTCTGACCATGGATCGTCGTTTACGGGAAACGGATACATTCCAACCGCAAGTTGCTGGCAATAGTGGTCGTCCAATAATGGATGCAACTGATGAAGACATTTTAGAACCCTATGACTTAACAACGGTTCAAACATTATTGGTTGAAGATTATCTTAAAACGATTAGATTTTGCGATTGGTTGTTAATGGAAAACACTCAAAATGTTAATTTTATTAGAAATATTTTGTTTACCGACGAGGCTACCTTCAGTAGAAATTGAATAACAAACTATCATAACGAGCACATTTGAGCCGACGAAAATCCTCACGCGAAATAAACGACTCATCACCAAAGGATTTTCAAGTTAATGTTTGGGCAGGAATTGTGGATAACAATCTAATAGGCCCAGTATTTCTTCTCAGCAATTTAAATGATGATAATTTGCAGTTCTTGGCAAACGATTTACAAGAGTATTTGGAAGAAGTGAATATTACAATAAGGCAAAATACGTAGTTTCTACAAGATCGCGCTACACCGCATTACAGTAATAAAGTCCGGGAATACCTTTGCAGGCAGTATCCTGGTTGGTGGATTGGAAGGGGTCGTGACGCACCTATTTCTTGGCCACCCGTCCAAAACTTAACCCCATGGACTTTTGCTTTTGGGGGTTTATGAAATAGAAAGTGTATTCTGTAACAATAGAGGACGAACAACAATTGATGGTTAGAATAATTGAAGCTGCAAATCAATTTCGCCAGAAAAATATGATTTTTCGGAGCATTCGGGTTTTCTTTATTAAAACGATACCGAATGTATATTGAAGAAAATGGGGGTCATTTTGAACATTTATTGTAATATCATATTTATAGACATGCCTATGTGTGAAATGTCTTTACATTTTTTGTACTTGTTAATTCATTTAAGCCATGTGTTTAGTTACACGTAATTTTTTAAATGTTAATGAGAAGGGCCGAAACTCATTAAAAACTGTTTTTTGAAAAAAGTAATAAGAGGCAAAATTTTTTTAAAAATAATGTGTTAAACTAATGATGTCACAAAATTCATTTTATTTTAACGTACTCAAAAAATTGGGTGATTTAGGGCTGCACACCCACCTAAAATTTTTCTGTGCGCTTAGATTTTGTTGTTTCTTCTTTATGAAAAATGCTTTCAGACCAGAAAGTAACATGTCCATTTGTATTACAAAATGTCACGTAGTCAAGAGATAATGCAAAAAAACAAATTTTATTTTGTAACTTTTAAGGGCTGTAACTTTTTTTTGTAGCTGTGTTTTGTACTATGGTAAGTTGGATCAATTAATTTGTTTTTGTCCCCAGAATGCGTGATTTAATTTATGACATACCTTATTGAAAAACCCTGTACACGTACATAATTATTGGGATTTCAAACAATTTTTTTATTGTCTCTTTTTCAGATAAACCTGTAAGAAAGACGGTTACAATCTCACGTGTAGGAACTACTAATGTTTCGGATAGTACAGTAAGTATTAAAATTTTTTAGGAATAGATACAGTTTAAAACAAATAATACGGCCCCATATACGAGTGAATAATTCGTACATATCGGAATCGTACAGATTTGATGCCACAAATCTGGTTCGGACGACCCAATCTTTGAGAGATTGCATAGATCTGCATACCTGGCTCGACGTATCAAATTCGCACGTTAGTGGAGTAAAATCTTGCATTTTATGTGGTATTGTGGTATTTTAGTGGAGCTAAAAGATCTGAGTGCAGACTGACATTTTAAAAATATTTTTGAAAACAACAAACTTAAAGTATTCGCTCAATGATAACATGTGTTGTGTAAACATATTTTTTAAAGATTTTATATCGATTTTTCTTGTACCTAGAATACCTTGTAAAGCAGGGAAACAGTCAATTTTTTGATCTTCTAATTTTCTCTTCGATAAGAGCAACTCTGAAACCTAGTAATTTTATCTGACAATTGCAGGATATGAGTATTATTTCCCTGCAAAGACTTATTAAAATCATTTAATTTGTTAAATTTGTCACAGAGGTATGCTAATTTTATTATAAACTCTGAATTAATAAAGTTTTATACATCATCATGTGATTCTGTATGTAGATACGTGTAAAATTCTGTTCTTAATTTGTATACACGTGCGAGTACGTTGCCTTTGGACAGCCAACGAGAGTTGCAATAATAAATTAAAGAGGTGTGCTCGGCCCCCATTTCTTCACAAAGTTTACGGAAAAGTCTTGATTTTACGAGTCGTGTTTTAATGTAGTTCACCACTTTAATAATGCTATCCATCACAACACTTAATTCAGGTGTAACGTTCTTTGCTGCTAAGGCCTCTCTGTGTATGGCACAATGTGTACATTTTATACTTTATACATTTTATACTAATATTATTTTCAGTCATATTTGAGTTTAAAATCTCGAATAAATCAGTAACTTTACAACTTTCACATATTTTTCTGTAAAATAACAAATCCTCACATATATTTGTTTCTTGTATGTGCCGTACATAACATATTAGTTGAGCATCATAATTATTATCAGTCGCCTCGTCCACTTGAATGACAAATAAACTTGAAAGTTTCCTTACAATTTGCTCATTAATATCTTCTGCCTTGTCGTGAATACTGCGACTAACCGTATTTGAAAAAGGTACAAGATCAGTTCCTCAGCGATCGTATGCGGTTTTTACATTTGGCAACATGGTAATTTACCATGTAAAAGGCGAGCAATGCTTTAGTGGAAATTGATGCTCTTGAAACCAAAGCCATGGTCTGATATTTTAGCTCTCGCAATTTTCTTACAAAAAATCTCTTGGCTTACCTTGTAAATGACTGTGAGTTGATTCCAACTGCCGTTTTAGTTTATTAGGAAGCATACTTTCAGCCACCAACACTTTGTGATAAACAACAGATTGTGGAAGTTCTACGTTCCCTTTAGTAACGAAGGTAAATCGAAAATCCAAATATTGGTCGTCATATTTCCTATATTTTTTCTTTTTATTTAAATTAACATTACTGCTCTCGCCTGATTCTTTACTTCGTTTTCTATTCTTTTAAATATAAATATCCATTGTTGATAGCAAAAAACTCCGCGTACGTAATAAAACAAAAGAAAAGCTTGACTAAATGACATAACATGAGCGACAATAGTGATCACGGGGGAGGAGAGCCGACCGGCGAAACAGAATGCGCCTGGCGCTCACTCGACTCCAGTGTTACCAACGTCCGGATAATTATCCGATGTTCGGATAATTTCGTGGATCATCGTATAATTCAAAGGTCTATCGACTTGCTGTTATATTTTTTATTTGATTTATTTATTATACATATTTTATACTCATTTAAAATCAAATAAATATATTTTCTATATTAAAAGTCTGCGTTGACACGCGACGCCCTGTTTGGAAAGATCTGAAATACTCTGAAAGTTATACTGTTGCATTATTTCTTCTATATGTTTAATACATTTATTTATTATATTTACGTTCAATGCCTCCATTGTTCATAAGCGCAATTTCATTTTATAGGTACAAAAATTGCCCACTACTAGTACAATAACTTCAGCGTCTAGAGCAGCCTGGGCTCCATCGCCTAAAATAAATATCGCAGTGCGACCAAATATTAATACAGAAGGTAAGAAATATGAGTTTTTTTTTGTTTATAATGGCTTTGGCAGTTTGCCATACAGCCAGTTACATGATCTTTTAATTTCATTAGGCGCAGTTAAAATTCTTTACAATCGAATAGACTAAAATAGATAAATATAAAGTTGAGAAATTAGTACAAACATTAATGAAAAGAAAAGAAGAAAAGAAATATGAGTTAACATACTAATTTAACATATCTACCGCAAAAAGTAATTTTATCGTGGACTGTGTGACAAAAGTAACAATACATCACTGATTTATATTTTAAAAGTTTAAATACACTATTAAATAACATTAGGAACATTTAATCCTATCAAACATTTTATTATTAAATGTGATTAAATTCTTGAAAACATAAAACAAAAAAATATGTCGACAAAATATTAAAACGTTGATCAAGTTCAGTATATTTTAAAAGTATAAATACAGTTCTGTCTCTACAGATTGAACGAAATAAATTCGGAACATACGAAATATTATGTATTTCGGCTCGATTCTGCTGTAGGTGGATGACCAACAAAAGGTTGTTAAATAATTATATTATAAAAATCTAATACTTCAGCGGGCTGCTGGATTCTGAAATCATAAAAATTGAAAGCTACACATAAATCTACGATTTTATTATGCTGTCAAACCACTTATAGTCCACTTATAATGATTTCACCTCGCAATTTTTTCGTCCTGCGTGGATTGACTTGAAATTTTAACAGAAGGTAGGTAATAGAGAAGGATCAAAATCTATATCGAACCAAAGTGCGCCAAAGCCTTAGGCGTGGTTGCCACCCCATCTCGGGGGTGAATTTTTTTTTACGTTTTAACTACAGGTTTCAAGTTATTCGCGATTGAAAGTAACAACTTTAAGACGAAAAAATCGACGTTTTTAATCGATTTTTCGCGAATAACTCGAAAATGGTGCATTTTATCAAAAAAATTGTAGAGAACAAATTTGTAGCTTTTAAAAAGACAAATACAATTCATTTTTTAAAATGTTATTGCGATATAATAGGAACCGAAATACGGCCTATCAATGTTCAGCGGTTTTCTTCAAATGCCAAATTTGAAAGATTCAAAACTCATAGAACCTTTTTTAAAGAGCATAAATAGACTTATCATAAAAAAAGACTAGCTCAAAAATTGAGTGAGTTATGATGAAAATAAGGTCAATACCTCATTTTTTAGGAAAAAATCGATGAAAACAACCCCCTGACCACTTCCATAATTAAAATCGATCTTCACCCTTCTGTAATTCATATTTATTCATTTACAATTTCATATTTTTTACCCTTCTTTTTTTAAATATCCCCGAAAATACTGAATATATGAAAAAAAATGTACTAAATTGTAGCTTTTTTAATGACTAAAATTTTCCTTTATTTAGATTTCTTGTACAATGAATATTTGGCGAGATATAGCCGTTTAAAGCATCGATTTACGATCAAGCACCATCTTTTTCGAGCCCTTTAAATTCACCCCATTTAAAAACCAAGGGTTCCAAAAAGATTTAATTCACAGATCCTTGTAGCTCTTAAAAACGGCTACAAAACCGTTTTTGAAGAAACACTATCGTTAAAAATGAAGAAAATACGTTAAAAAAAGCAATTAATTTTTTTTTTTCGGAAAATTCCATTAGTATAGTATAGTACATTTCGGAGCATAATAATCTACAAAATCGGTATATTAGGTAGTGGGGCGTTATACATTCGAAATTTTAAGCATTCTTATTTTGAAATCTCATACAACAGCATAAAACATCTGCTCATATGTCTATGGCTTGGCAATGAAAATATCAGAGCAACAGATTGGGGACGGTATTCCAAAGATGGTTTGTTATTACCCGTACGCATGAACAAACAACCTGCACCCGATGAACTTTTGTTGTTGTTGTTATAAATGTAAATATTTTCAACTATTTATGTAAATGTATAAGAATATATGGTGCCTTTTTATGGCGATAAGTTTTTTTTGTATTTAATTCTACTTTTTTCAATTAATATCTATTAAATTAGTTTATAAAAACTGCAATGTTATAAAGGGTGATATTCAAAAGTTGAAAAGTTGCAAAATTTTGGCAAAAAATTGTTTTCACCTATAGCACTCATAACAATTGATTTTTAAGGATTGAAAATGTATGAAATTTTATTTTAAAGTATAGAAAATCACTATTTAACTAATCCAAACCAAATATCACTCATCTTAAGATTTGTAATGTTATTTTACAATTTTTGAAAATTGGGGTAGTTTTCACCCCTAAGAACAATCAGGGTTCATCGGCATGACATAAAATATAAAGCAGAGGGTGAGTTGAGCTTAATTCCAAATTTTTATCCAAATCGTTCCAAGGCGAAATCATTTTCTTCGCATTACTACTTTTTTTTACATTAATCTCTAACAAGGGTCGCTTTTTAAGGGTTGAAATATGATGGAACTTTATTCAAAAGCACGAAACTATCATTATTTAATTAATTCAAACCAAATTTTACCCATATTCAGGTTTAATATGTTATTTTATAATTTTTGACAACTAGGGGTAGTTTTCACCCCTAAGAACAATCAGGGTTCGTCGACATGACATAAACTATAAAGCAGTGGGTGAATTGAGCTTAAATCCAAATTTTTATCTAAATCGATCCAAAGCGAAATCATTTTTTAGAATTAGTAATTTTTTTACATTAATCTCTAACAAGATTTGTTTTTGAAGGGTTGAAATATGATGGAACTCTATTCAAAAGTAAAAAATAATCATTATTTAACTAATTCAAGCCAAATCTTAGCCATATTCAGGTTTAATATGTTATTTTATAATTTTTGACAATTAGTGGTAGTTTTCACCCCTAAAACCCTTCAGCGCACTTCGGTTCGATATAGATTTTGATCCTTGGGCTATCACCTACCTTCTGTTAAAATTTCAACTCAATGCATGCAGGTCGGAAAAATTGCGCAGTTTTAACTTTTTTCGAGATTTATTTCCTGAACTATTATCGCTTCCTTGACGCAAAAAACATTGTAACATTGTTGCGAGACAGATAGTTGAACGATATCTTATACAATGTCTATACCCAGGTATGGATTTATTTTTGTCCAAGTTTTATATTGGTCCACTATTTCAAATGCAGTTCAAACAGACATATTAAATTGTATGATCCGTTTTAAATTCGTTCAATCTGTATATAACGATATGCAAGGGACCGGGAATTTTCATCGGTATAAACATAGATCGTTATACAGAGGTAGACAAAATTCGGTACTGTAATATTAATAATACTGTACTAACAAAGGTTAAAGTAAAATAGGTTATTAATTTAATTTAAAAATATCGAAACGAATATAAATGAATTAAATTGTATTGTACCCCACCTAGATTTATTAAAGAATAATATAAGCAATACGGTATAAAAAATGATTGTACAATAATAAAATAATATGCTACTATAAAACATATTTATCCTACATTAGGATAAATATTTACAATAAAATAAATTACAAACATCTAATGGCAGGTCATCTTCACTATCAGTCAATCCTTGATCTTCCAGCCATCCTGCGTGTTTGAAAGAATGTTTTTGCTTGTCACCTCGTCCCAGGATTTACTAATCATTAGGATGGCGTCAAGAATGTTTAGTTTAACATCGCCATTGTTCTCAACCAATTCCATCAAAAGTCTTCTCCTGTAATGGCTTTTTAAACTTTTGATGACACTTTGGTCCATGAGTTGAAGGACATTCGTTGTGTTTGCTGACAGAAAACAAAATTCAATATTTTGAAGATCGCACAGTTTAGAATGAGCAGGACAATTGTCTTCAAGCAGAAGAATTTTTTTCCCTTTAAGCTCGATATCCCACTAACAATTTTCGCTTCACCGAACCTGTCATGTTATCGGACACTGAAACTGTAATGCGTTCCTTAGAGAGGTTATCACCAACGCACTTTTCCGATTAAAATTTTAAAGTTCTGTTTGGTATCATTTTAAAAACAACCCCGTCTCATCAGCATTGAAAATGTCGTCTGATGCATATTGTGCCTTCAGTCCAGGCCACACGTTTTCTAGCCATTCTTCCGTTACGTTTTTGTTAACATCTCGAGCCTCTCCGCTGATTTGCCCGTAGTTAATCTTGTGCCGCAGCTTCCACTTGCTCAGCCAACCCTCAGATGCCTTAAAATTCTCAATTCCAAGCCCAGTTGCAAAAAGTCCTCTTTTGTCCTGACCACAGGCCCAGAAATTGGAATATGGTTTATAAGCTGCTGCTGCAATCATTGAAGCATAGCACGATCTAAATCTTCGTGCTGAGGTTTCCGCAACTCCTTCCTGCTATCGTCTTTCATATTTTTCTGTCCTTTTATATCGTACCCACAATTGACTGAGGTACGTCGAACGACATCCGATTGATTTTCACCTTTCTCTATTGCTCGAGCTATGGATAAATTTTCCTCCACCGAGAGATTGAACACTTTAAAAACAATATTTTATTTAATTCATCAATATTTTTTGTTAATAAAGTTTTGTTTAGGATTATTACCTTATTCTATTTCAACTAAAGCGCGTACACCATGGTTGTTGGGTCATATTGATTAGAACAGCATTGTATTACATTTGTATAGCTGACACAAACGGAACAACCGAACATATACAGGGTGTTTCAAAAAGGTATGTCATAAATAAAATCACGCATTCCGGTTACAAGAATAAATTGATTGAATCCAACTTACCTTAGTACAAAAGTGTTCACAACAAAAGTTACAGCCCTTTGAAGTTACAACATATTTGTTTTTTTGCATTATCTCTTGACTACTTGACATTTTGTAATAAAAATGGACATGTTACTTTCTGGTCTGAAAGCATTTTTCATAAAGAAGAAACAACAAAATCTAAGCGCATAGAAAAATTTTAAGGGGGGTGTGCAGCTCTAAATCCCCCCAAATTTTTTAGTACGTTCAAATCAAATGAATGTTGTGGCGTCATTAGTTTAACATATTATTTTTAAAACTTTTTTGCCTCTTATCACTTTTTCGAAAACTAGTTTTTTCCTAGTTGGTCATAAAATTACAATTAGTTTCTACGGATACAATAATTACAAACAGGTCCATCAATAATAGTCAAAAATTTGAAGCTATCATTTATTGTGTGAATAAGATTAATATTAAAAAATTTGATATTGCAATGGCCTACACATTTCAGGAAATGGCAGATATACATTTAACTTTGGCTAAGTTGGATCAGATTAAATTATGATTTCAATAAACAATCGGGAATATCGTAGGTGAATGTCACGAAAATAGTGCAGCAGCCGCAAGGTGTTATGTAGTAAAACACTCCAATCGAAATACACCCGATAGACGATTATTTCTGACCATTGGTCGCCGTTTACGGGAAACGGATACATTCCAACCGCAAGTTGCTGGCAATAGTGGTCGTCCAATAATGGATGCAACTGATGAAGACATTTTAGAACCCTATGACTTAACAACGGTTCAAACATTATTGGTTGAAGATTATCTTAAAACGATTAAATTTTGCGATTGGTTGTTAATGGAAAACACTCAAAATGTTAATTTTATTAGAAATATTTTGTTTACCGACGAGGTGTTTACTTCAGTAGAAATGGAATAACAAACTATCATAACGAGCACATTTGAGCCGACGAAAATCTTCACGCGAAATAAACGACTCATCACCAAAGGATTTTCAAGTTAATGTTTGGGCAGGAATTGTGGATAACAATCTAATAGGCCCAGTATTTCTTCTCAGCAATTTAAATGATGATAATTTGCAGTTCTTGGCAAACGATTTACAAGAAGTGAATATTACAATAAGGCAAAATATGTAGTTTCTACAAGATCGCGCTACACCGCATTACAGTAATAAAGTCCGGGAATACCTTTGCAGGCAGTATCCTGGTTGGTGGATTGGAAGGGGTCGTGACGCACCTATTTCTTGGCCACCCGTCCAAAACTTAACCCCATGGACTTTTGCTTTTGGGGGTTTATGAAATAGAAAGTGTATTCTGTAACAATAGAGGACGAACAACAATTGATGGTTAGAATAATTGAAGCTGCAAATCAATTTCGCCAGAAAAATATGATTTTTCGGCGCATTCGGGTTTTCTTTATTAAAACGATACCGAATGTATATTGAAGAAAATGGGGGTCATTTTGAACATTTATTGTAATATCATATTTATAGACATGCCTATGTGTAAAATGTCTTTACATTTTTTGTACTTGTTAATTCATTTAAGCCCTGTATTTAGTTACACGTAATTTTTTAAATGTTAATGAGAAGAGCCGAAACTCATTAAAAACTGTTTTTTGAAAAAAGTAATAAGAGGCAAAATTTTTTTAAAAATAATGTGTTAAACTAATGATGTCACAAAATTCATTTTATTTTAACGTACTCAAAAAATTGGGTGATTTAGGGCTGCACACCCCCCCTAAAATTTTTCTGTGCGCTTAGATTTTGTTGTTTCTTCTTTATGAAAAATGCTTTCAGACCAGAAAGTAACATGTCCATTTTTATTACAAAATGTCACGTAGTCAAGAGATAATGCAAAAAAACAAATTTTATTTTGTAACTTTTAAGGGCTGTAACTTTTTTTTGTAGCTGTGTTTTGTACTATGGTAAGTTGGATCAATTAATTTGTTTTTGTCCCCAGAATGCGTGATTTAATTTATGACATACCTTTTTGAAAAACCCTGTACACGTACATAATTATTGGGATTTCAAACAATTTTTTTATTGTCTCTTTTTCAGATAAACCTGTAAGAAAGACGGTTACAATCTCACGTGTAGGAACTACTAATGTTTCGGATAGTAGAGTAAGTATTAAAATTTTTTAGGAATACATACAGTTTAAAACAAATAATACGGCCCCATATACGAGTGAATAATTCGTACATATCGGAATCGTACAGATTTGATGCCACAAATCTGGTTTGGACGACCCAATCTTTGAGAGATTGCATAGATCTGCATACCTGGCTCGACGTATCAAATTCGCACGTTAGTGGAGTAAAATCTTGCATTTTATGTGGTATTGTGGTATTTTAGTGGAGCTAAAAGATCTGAGTGCAGACTGACATTTTAAAAATATTTTTGAAAACAACAAACTTAAAGTATTCGCTCAATGATAACATGTGTTGTGTAAACATATTTTTTAAAGATTTTATATCGATTTTTCTTGTACCTAGAATACCTTGTAAAGCAGGGAAACAGTCAATTTTTTGATCTTCTAATTTTCTCTTCGATAAGAGCAACTCTGAAACCTAGTAATTTTATCTGACAATTGCAGGATATGAGTATTATTTCCCTGCAAAGACTTATTAAAATCATTTAATTTGTTAAATTTGTCACAGAGGTATGCTAATTTTATTATAAACTCTGAATTAATAAAGTTTTATACATCATCATGTGATTCTGTATGTAGATACGTGTAAAATTCTGTTCTTAATTTGTATACACGTGCGAGTACGTTGCCTTTGGACAGCCAACGAGAGTTGCAATAATAAATTAAAGAGGTGTGCTCGGCCCCCATTTCTTCACAAAGTTTACGGAAAAGTCTTGATTTTACGAGTCGTGTTTTAATGTAGTTCACCACTTTAATAATGCTATCCATCACAACACTTAATTCAGGTGTAACGTTCTTTGCTGCTAAGGCCTCTCTGTGTATGGCACAATGTGTTCATTTTATACTTGGAGCCTCGGTTTTGATGAGAGCTTGTAGTCCTCCATACTGTCCTGACATCGCTCGGGCACCATCTGTACACACGCCTACACAGTTATTCCAGTTAATATTATTTTCAGCCATATTTGAGTTTAAAATCTCGAATAAATCAGTAACTTTACAACTTTCACATATTTTTCTGTAAAATAACAAATCCTCACATATATTTGTTTCTTGTATGTGCCGTACATAACATATTAGTTGAGCATCATCATTATTATCTGTCGCCTCGTCCACTTGAATGACAAATAAACTTGAAAGTTTCCTTACAATTTGCTCATTAATATCTTCTGCCTTGTCGTAAATACTGCGACTAACCGTATTTGAAAAAGGTACAAGATCAGTTCCTCAGCGATCGTATGCGGTTTTTACATTTGGCAACACGGTAATTTACCATATAAAAGGCGTTCAATGCTTTAGTAGAAATTGATGCTCTTGAAACCAAAGCCATGGTCTGATATTTTAGCTCTCGCAATTTTCTTACAAAAAATCTCTTGGCTTACCTTGTAAATGACTGTGAGTTGATTCCAACTGCCGTTTTAGTTTATTAGGAAGCATACTTTCAGTCACCAACACTTTGTGATAAACAACAGATTGTGGAAGTTCTACGTTCCCTTTGGTAACGAAGGTAAATCGAAAATCCAAATATTGGTCGTCATATTTCCTATATTTCTTCTTTTTACTTAAATTAACATTACTGCTCTCGCCTGATTCTTTACTTCGTTTTCTATTCTTTTAAATATAAATATCCATTGTTGATAGCAAAAAACTCCGCGTGCGTAATAAAACAAAAGGAAAGCTTGACTAAATGACATAACATGAGCGACAGTAGGGATCACGGGGGAGGAGAGCCGACCGGCGAAACAGAATGCGCCTGGCGCTCACTCGACTCCAGTGTTGCCAACGTCCGGATAATTATCCGATGTTCGGATAATTTCGTAGATCATTCAATTCAAAGGTCTATCGACTTGATGTTATATTTTTTATTTGATTTATTTATTATACATATTTTATACTCATTTAAAATCAAATAAATATATTTTCTGTATTAAAAGTCTGCGTTGACACGCGACGCCCTGGGACAACACAGAGACGCCCCAGGGCGTCGCGACGCACAGTTTGGAAAGATCTGAAATACTCTGAAAGTTAATACCTTTACCTTTTTTCCTTCTATATGTTTAATACATTTATTTATTATATTTACGTTCAATGCCTCCATTGTTCATAAGCGCACTTTCATTTTATAGGTACAAAAATTGCCCACTACTAGTACAATAACTTCAGCGTCTAGAGCAGCCTGGGCTCCATCGCCTAAAACAAATATCCCAGTGCGACCTACTATTAATACAGAAGGTAAGAAATATGAGTTTTTTTTTGTTTATAATGGCTTTGGCAGTTTGCCATACAGCCAGTTACATGATCTTTTAATTTCATTAGGCGCAGTTAAAATTCTTTACAATCGAATAGACTAAAATAGATAAATATAAAGTTGAGAAATTAGTACAAACATTAATGAAAAGAAAATAAAAAAAGAAATATGAGTTAACATACTAATTTAACATATCTACCGCAAAAAGTAATTTTATCGTGGACTGTGTGACAAAAGTAACAATACATCACGGATTTATATTTTAAAAGTTTAAATATACAATTAAATAAAATTAGGAACATTTAATCACTATCAAACATTTTATTAATAATCATGATTAAATTCTTGAAAACATAAAACAACAAAATATGTCGACAAAATTTTAAAAAGTTCAGTATATTTTAAAAGTATAAATACAGTTCTGTCTCTACAGATTGAACGAAATAAATTCGGAACATACGAAATATTATGTATTTCGGCTCAATTCTGCTGTAGGTGGTTGACCAACAAAAGGTTGTTAAATAATTATATTATAAAAATCCAATACTTCAGTGGGCTGCTGGATTCTGAAATCATAAAAATTGAAAGCTACACATAAATCGACGATTTTATTATGCTGTCAAACCACTTATAGTCCAGGAAATGAAGCATTTCACCTCGCAATTTTTTCGTCCTGCGTGGATTGACTTGAAATTTTAACAGAAGGTAGGTAATAGCCAAGGATCAAAATCTATGTCGAACCAAAGTGCGCCAAAGCCTTGGGGGTGGTTGCCACCCCATCTCGGGGGTGAATTTTTTTTTACGTTTTAACTACAGGTTTCGATTAAAAAAGTGATTCTAAACAAAAAATGTTCTATACATTTTTTTTGTAAAACTGATATTTTTCAAGTTATTCGCGATTGAAAGTAGCAACTTTTAGACGAAAAAATCGACGGTTTTAATCGATTTTTCGCGAATAACTCGAAACTGGTGCATTTTATCAAAAAAATTGTAGAGAACAAATTTGTAACTTTTAAAAAGACAAATACAATTCATGTTTTAAAATGTTTTTGCGATATAACAGGAACCGAAATACGGCCTATCAATGTTCAGCGGTTTTCTTCAAATGCCAAATTTGAAAGATTCAAAGTCAAATATCGGGAAAATGATGCATTTTTGGAAGAAAACTCACAGAACCTTTTTTTAAAGAGCATAAATGGACCTATCATAAAGAAAGACTCTAGCTCAAAAATTGAGTGAGTTATGATAAAAATAAGGTCAATACCTCATTTTTTACGAAAAAATCGATGAAAACAACCCCCTAACCACCTTCATAATTAAAATCGATCTTCACCCTTCTACAATTCTCTTTGCACATGTATTGTTAATACGTCCAAGAAGTTTGACCTATTTAAAATGCTTAGTTTTAGAAAAAGTCTTTTCTTTTTTTTAAATATCCCCGAAAATACTGAATATATGAAAAAAAAAATAAAAATCTACTGAATTGTAGCTTTTTTAATGACTAAAATTTTCCTTTATTTAGATTTGTTGTACAATGAATATTTGGCGAGATATAGCCGTTTAAGGCATCGATTTAAGATCAGGCACCATCTTTTTCGAGGCCTTTAAATTCACCCCATTTAAAAACCAAGGGTTCCAAAAAGATTTAATTCACAGATCCTTGTAGCTCTTAAAAACCTCTACAAAACCGTTTTTGAAGAAACACTATCGTTAAAAATGAAGGAAATACGTTAAAAAAAGCAATTAAGTTTTTTTTCCGGAAAATTCCATTAGTATAGTATAGTACATTTCGGAGCATAATAATCTACAACACCGGTATATTAGGTAGTGGGGCGTTATACATTCGAAATTTTAAGCATTCTTATTTTGAAATCCCATACAACAGATTAAAACATCTGCTCATATGTCTATGTCTTGGCAATGAAAATATCAGAGCAACAGATTGGGGATGGTATTCCAAAGATGGTTTGTTATTACCCGTATGCATGAACAAACAACCTGCACCCGATGAACTTTTGTTGTTGTTGTTATAAATGTAAATATTTTCAACTATTTATGTAAATGTATAAGAATATGTGGTGCCTTTTTATGGTGATAATTTTTTTTGTATTTAATTCTACTTTTTTCAATTTATATCTTTTAAATTAGTTTATAAAAACTGCAATGTTATAAAGGGTGATATTCAAAAGTTGAAAAGTTGCAAAATTTTGGCAAAAAATTGTTTTCACCTATAAAATTTTATTTTAAAGTATAAAAAAATCACTGTTTAACTAATCCAAACCAAATATCACTCATCTTAAGATTTGTAATATGTTATTTTACAATTTTTGAAAATTGGGGGTAGTTTTCACCCCTAAGAACAATCAGGGTTCATCGGCATGACATAAAATATAAAGCAGAGGGCGAGTTGAGCTTAATTCAAAATTTTTATCCAAGTCGTTCCAAGGCGAAATCATTTTCTTCGCATTACTACTTTTTTTTACATTAATCTCTAACAAGGGTCGCTTTTTAAGGGTTGAAATATGATGGAACTTTATTCAAAAGCACGAAACTATCATTATTTAATTAATTCAAACCAAATTTTACCCATATTCATTTCCAATTGGAGAAGCTTGTCCAACTTTTAAATTTTAAAGTGTTTGTTTGTCTTTGTTTAGTGTATTTGTTATGTCCCAATTTACATTTATGACATTCTGTTACTGCTGGATAGGCCACAACTGACGAAATGCCCCTTAGGATGATCTTGTGATCGAAAGTACTTGGGCAAGATTTGATTAAATACTGTGTTCGATATTTGCCTTGTGTACCATCAAAGTTCATTTATTCGAACATTCAACCTTATATTGAGATGTACATTTAACTTTGGCTAAGTTGGATCAGATTAAATTATGATTTCAATAAACAATCGGGAATATCGTAGGTGAATGTCACGAAAATAGTGCAGCAGCCGCAAGGTGTTATGTAGTAAAACACTCCAATCGAAATACACCCGATAGACGATTATTTCTGACCATTGGTCGCCGTTTACGGGAAACGGATACATTCCAACCGCAAGTTGCTGGCAATAGTGGTCGTCCAATAATGGATGCAACTGATGAAGACATTTTAGAACCCTATGACTTAACAACGGTTCAAAATTATTGGTTGAAGATTATCTTAAAACGATTAGATTTTGCGATTGGTTGTTAATGGAAAACACTCAAAATGTTCATTTTATTAGAAATATTTTGTTTACCGACGAGGCTACCTTCAGTAGAAATGGAATAACAAACCAACAAAAATAACGAGCACATTTGGGCCGACGAAAATCCTCACGCGAAATAAACGACTCATCACTAAAAGATTTTCAAGTTCATGTTTGGGCAGGAATTGGGGATAACAATCTAATAGGCCCAGTATTTCTTCCCAGCAATTTAAATGATGATAATTTGCAGTTCTTGGCAAACGATTTACAAGAGTATTTGGAAGAAGTTAATATTGCAATAAGGCAAAATATGTAGTTTCTACAAGATCGCGCTACACCGCATTACAGTAATGAAGTCCGGGAATACCTTTGCAGGCAGTGTCCTGGTCGGTGGATTGGAAGGGGTCGTGACGCACCTATTTCTTGGCCACCCGTCCAAGTGTTAACCCCATGGACTTTTGCTTTTGGGGGTTTATGAAATAGAAAGTGTATTCTGTAACAATAGAGGACGAACAACAATTGAGGGTTAGAATAATTGAAGCTGCAAATCAATTTCGCCAGAAAAATATGATTTTTCGGCGCATTCGGGTTTTCCTTATTAAAACGATACCGAATGTATATTGAAGAAAATGGGGGTCATTTTGAACATTTATTGTAATATCATATTTATAGACATGCCTACGTGTGAAATGTCTTTACATTTTTTGTACTTGGTAATTCATTTAAGCCATGTATATAGTTACACGTAATTTTTTAAATGTTAATGAGAGGGGCCCAAACTCAATAAAAACTGTTTTTTGAAAAAAGTAATAAAAGGCAAAATTTTTTAAAAATAATGTGTTAAACTAATGATGTCACAAAATTCATTTTATTTGAACGTACTCAAAAAATTGGGGGATTTAGGACTGCACACCCCCCCCCCCTAAAATTTTTCTGTGCGCTTAGATTTTGTTGTTTCTTTTTTATGAAAAATGCTTTCAGAACAAGAAAGTAACGTGTCCATTTTTATTACAAAATGTCACGTAGTCAAGAGATAATGCAAAAAAACAAATTTTATTTTGTAACTTTTAAGGGCTGTAACTTTTTTGTGTACACTTTTGTACTATGGTAAGTTGGATCAATCAATTTGTTTTTGTCCCCAGAATACGTGATTTAATTTGTGACATACCTTTTTGAAAAACCCTGTACACCTACATAATTATTGGGATTTCAAACAATTTTTTTATTGTCTCTTTTTCAGATAAACCTGTAAGAAAGACGGTTACAATCTCCCGTGTAGGAACTACTAATGTTTCGGATAGTACAGTAAGTATTAAAATTTTTTACGAATACATACAGTTTAAAACAAATAATACGGCCCCATATACGAGTGAATAATTCGTACATATCGGAAACGTACAGATTTGATGCCACAAATCTGGTTCGGACGACCCAATCTTTGAGAGATTGCATAGATCTGCATACCTGGCATGACGTATCAAATTCGCACGTTAGTGGAGTAAAATCTTGCATTTTATGTGGTATTTTATTGGAGCTAAAAGATCTGAGTGCAGACTGACATTTTAAAAATATTTTTTGAAAACAACAAACTTAAAGTATTGCTCTATCGGAATTTTTGTTTTAAATAGATATTTACGAAAAAAAAAAAGGAAAATGTGGGAAAAAAGTGGTTATTACGACGAAACGATTCTAGTCATATGTCTGTAATGAGAGAGCCCTGGAATAATATTTAAACTCCATCACTTGTTCTATTATCTAACCTTCCAGATCCAATTTACATCTTAGTAAATTTGCTGTTGTAACCATACAGTTTATCTTTGTTGGGGAAATTAACATGTTAAATTTTTTGGCGGTTACATTAAATTGTGTGTATTGTGGGTATTGTGTCATCTGTATAGCAGATTATTTTAAGTTGTTCTCCCATTTGGTATCCTTTTTTAGTTCTTACTTTTTTTATTATTTGATCCATAATCAGGTTGAACAATAGAGGACTCAGGGAATCTCCCTGTCTTATCCCATTGCCAGCTTCAATAGGGTCGGTTAGTTCTTCTTTTTCTTTTACTTTTATTGTGTTGTTTTGGTAGATATTTTCGATCGTTTTGATTATTCCTAGAGGTATCTCTCTTGCATACAGTAAGTGGATAACGTCTTTTAATTTGACCCGGTCAAATTTTCCTTTCTTTTTTGTTTCCTGTAGAGCACAAATGTCTATTTCTTTCTCTTTCAGCACTTGGGTTATTTCGTGGTCCCTTGAGTTAAGTGATCTGATATTCCAAGTAGTAATTCTCATCTGGGTTTTGGATGTTTTTCGCTTGTCCTTATTTCTTACCGTAGTCGTTTTTATAGTATCAATCCGGTTCCGAGGCTGTACATTGTTTCTTTGAGCAGTATTTGTTTTTACGATTGGTAGTTTTCTAACCTTGCCAATCACCCTCCACATTTTATCCGGGATTGGAACCGGCTGTGGTAACATCCACCCCGCAATCACCCCAGACAGCACTCTATTTTTATGAAATTAATAAATAATTAACTTACTTCTGTCCTATCTGAATTATTGTTTACAATCATGACGACTTAATGAATTTGTTTCGCCACGCATAAGATTCGACGGATAATTCGCTCGTATATGAGCCCCTATTGTCTGCTTATATATTCCAGTGATTAAAAGGATTCACCTAATTCTATCATACAGGGGACTAGCAGTCTTTATTGTTAATTAACATAATGCGGATAAACCACAATTTTAGTTAAAATACATTATATTTAACTGTTCAATTTCCATCTCGGAAATAATATAATTTACGGATAGAAAATCGGAGAGATGACCTTTAGACACTACCACCTGGTATCTGCCACATAGATAAGAAGTTATAAGCTTAAAAGGGATACCTCTGATTCCATAGTAATTTAATTTGTGGAGCAAAATGTCGTGTGAAACGCAATCAAAAGCCTTCGACAAGTCGCAAAGAGAAATTGCTCTGCGATTGCCGCGTTCAAGCACCTCAATCACCTCTCTCACAACATTAAATAGCGCGTTCGTAGTAGAACGAGCACTTCTGAATCCATATTGTGAGCTGCTAAAGTAATTATTTGACTCAAAATATGAATAAAATTGTTATTTGATAACATTATCAATCACTTTCGCAAAAGTAGAAACAATGCTTATGAGTCTGTAATTGTCAGTTTTTGAGGAATCGCCTTTTTTGTAGATTGGTAGTACTTTTAAGTATTTTAGTACTTCTGGAAATACTCCAGTTTGTGTTAAAACTATTTGGTAAGTTTCTTTTAAAATGTTGCCATTAATTTCTTAACGTCCCTACAATTAGAATTACTAAGAGACTTTATTATTTGAGAGACCTCTTCTTCCACAACGGGACGAAAAAAGGCACTTTTCCAGCAGTCTCTTGGTTTATTATTGGAATTAGTAATAATATTACAGTAAGCTGACTTTCTATCAATTTGTAATTGCTGATTATATTGAAATTTTTGTTGTTTATGTACTTTAAGCAAATCAGGATCCTTAGTGGCATCTGCAATGTATTTAATAAGAGAAATATTAGATCTATAGGATCTATTAGATCTATGAATTCATTATTAAACCATTGCACGGGTGTTCTTTCAGCAGTTTTTCATACTTCTTTTAGTGGAAAGTGTTTTAATATTAAGTTATAAGTTTCGGTAAGAAAGGCTGTCAAAAAATCAGGATCGTTATTAATTTTATAGAAAAAGTCCATATTTGTACTAGCTAGCGCACGTTTAAGCTTCTGTAAACCAGAAGAAGTAATAAACCGTTGAAATGTTTGATTAGTGTCAACAACTTTATGCTCAGTCAATAAATAAAAATTGAGCTCGATGGTCAGAAAAGTGTAATGTAATCAAATTCATTTTTCTTTATTAATGTGATTACAAGAATGCATCACAAAAATATTGACACCATATTAAAGTCATCTATAAAGTCATCTATAATAGAATATATAAAGTCATTTATAATATATCTATGAATTGCCGTCATGAATGAGGCAAATAAACTTTGTCTAATTTGTACTTCGAGAACTATTTTTAAGGTGGAAGGTAGAAACCGAAACACCAAATCCAAATAAAAAAATTAAAATTATGGTTTATTCACAATATATTTATACATATTTATATTTATACATATATATATATATATATATATATATATATATATATATATATATACATATACATATATATATATATATATATATATATATATATATATATATATATACATATACATATATATATATATATATACATATATATATATATATATATATATATATATATATATATATATATATATATATTTATGTATATAGTAATTAATAGAAACCACAAGGAAATAATTTCAGAGCCATTTTGATTGTTTTATATCCTTTAATTTTTCTATTTCTATGTAGGTAATTTAAACGCATTCTTTACAGTAATGTGTTTATCTCACTGCTGGTATGCTTTCATCCAGCCGTCATCTTGACTTCAAAAGAGCTATTGGCCACATTTTCCTAAAATCCTCTTTCAGCTTTTCTCTAGATACCTAATACGTTCCATGTACATACATTGGATGACCAAATTATTAGGGACACTACATCTATTTCTATATTTTTTAGTAAATAATGTTTTTGCGTTAAAAAATAAGTGGTCCTCTTTTTTTATGATTGGTGTCGCTTTTGGTATAATAATACTATTACTTTTTTTAGAAGTTAGAAAACTTGTCACGCTGAATTATTTATCAAAAATCCTGTTATCACGGTGACATCTTATTAATATTTTTAGATTGGTGTAAATATTTTCAAATTGTTTTTGCGAATTTTTCCTGTTCAGTCAACAGCTAAATGATATTTTTTATTTAATTAATTCTATTCAATTTCATCCGAGGATTTTACTTAAAAATTATTCAAACTCTAAATTGTTTTTTAGTATGTGTAACGCCTTTCCAAGAAAATTTAAAGAAATAAAAATTTTATTTTTTTCTTATTAAAATTCCTCGAGAGTTATATCGTCAACTACAGATGCTTCAAAGTCTATAGCTAATAATAATAATAAAATAGAATTGATATAATTTTTGAAGACTGGGGTCGAGCAATTAGTATTTGTAGTTAAATGTGTGTCTGTAAATAAAGTTTTTAGATTTTATTAGACAAAAGTTCATTTGTCCGATGACGTATAGGAGAGCAGTTCTATGCAGACTGCCTTGTAGAACGATTAAACATTAGATGAATGTCACAGTATGGTCTGTAATCTCGACATGGGGTACAGGGCAGAAATGCAGTCCCTTCCTGCATTTTTGACGGGGCACTGGATGGGACTAGCATTTTGTACTTTTATTATTATCGGAATGAGTTAGTAATTAAAGTTATACAAGTATCTGCATTATGTTTGCAACGTAAAAATATTACGAAATTAAAAGGTTTTTTATTTTAATAATTCATATTGATGAAACATAATTGATACATGTAGAATTACAGAAAATTTTAAATCGTTTTCGACAATTATTTTGGATTTATTGCGATGCTCGCCTGGTATGCCAGAAATTGTTTTGGTTTAGGTCCTAATAAACCGCCACCCGACATTACTGCGACATCACCAGATGATGATACCTTTGAATCTAACCGTGAACGTGATAAATAAAAAGAACTTTCTTTTCTTTGCTGTCTGCTGTGTCAGTAAATCAAAATGCAATGCATAGATTTGCATTTGCAATAGACAAATGTTAATGACAGTAACAAAACATTTAGGAAAATTGTCCAGTGACAGTTTTCTTTAAGGCTGGGTTTGGGAAACTAAACTACTACACAACACTTCACTATAGAACAGTTTTAAGGTTTGAAACATCTGACAGGCAGATCACATGGAAGATACCTTCTGAACCTTCGCTGGACGGATCGTCTCATTAGGGGTTGAGCCAATGCGTTGGGGTGATTTTTTATACGTTCCTCATACTTCTGCGAGAAGTAGGATATTTCTTCTTTGGCAGATTTCAGTTTAAGATCACGAGCAATAACACTGTTAGTTACCTACCACGGAGCATATACTATAATCTTAAGTACTTTGGACTGAAGGCTTTGTAGGATTTCGATATTGGAGTTGGATGCTGTCCCCCAAAATTGAATTCCGTAGCTCAATATCGGTTTTAGGAAGACTTTGTAATTAACAATTTTTTGGTGACTGTTAATTGTTATTTACGAATTAACATCCAGTACAATTTGCTAAGTTTTAAGCCCAGTTGCTTCCTATTAGCAAATATATGTGTTCTTTAAGTTAATGGTTGGTCCCGATGAATT